CTGACACGACCTCACGCGGCTGACACGACCTCAACGCGGCTGACACGACCTCAAACGCGGCTGACACGACCTCCCGGGCTGACACGACCTCAACGCGGGCTGACACGACCTCACGCGGCTGACACGACCTTGCGCTGACACGACCTCAACGCGGCTGACCGACCTAACGCGGCTGACACGACCTCACACGACCTCAACGCGGCTGACACGCCTCAACGCGGCTGACACGACCAACGACGCGGCTGACACGACCTCAACGCGGCTGACACGACCTCAACGCGGCTGACAACGGCTGACACGAACCTCACGCGGCTGACACGACCTCACGCGGCTGACCGACCTCAACGCGGCTGACACGACCTCAACGGGGCTGACACGACCTCAACGCGGCTGGACACGACCTCGGGCTGACACGACGCGGCTGACACGACCTCAACGCGGCTGACACGACCTCAACGCGGCTGACACGGACCTCAACGCGGCTGACACGACCTCAACGCGGCTGACACGACCTCAACCGGCTGACACGACCTGGCTGACACGCGGCTGACGACCTTCAACGCGGCTGACACGAACGGGCTGACACACGACCTCAACGCGGCTGACACGACCTCAACGCGGCTGACACGACCTCACACGACACGACCTCAACGCGTGCTGACACGACCTCAACGCGGCTGACACGACCTCAACGCGGCTGACACGACCTCAACGCGGCTGACACGACCTCACACGACCTCAACGCGGCTGACACGACCTCAACGCGGCTGACACGACACGACCTCCTCGGGCTGACACGACTCAACGCGGCTGAACGAACCTCAACGCGGCTGACACGACCTCAACGCGGCTGACACGACCTCAACGCGGCTGACACGACCTCAACGCGGCTGACACGACCTCAACGCGGTGACACGACCTCAACGCGGCTGACACGACCTCAACGCGGGCTGACACGACCTCAACGCGGCTGACACACCTCCCCGGCGCTGACACGACTCAACGCGGGACACCACGACGGGCTGACACGACCTCAACGCGGGCTGACACGACCTCAACGGGCTGACACGACCTCAACGCGGCTGACACGACCTCAACGCGGCTGACACGACCTCCGGGCTGACACGACCTCAACGCGGCTGACACTTAACGACCTCAACGGCTGACACGACCTCCCCGGGCTGACTGACACGACCTCACGCGGCTGACACGACCTCAACGCGGCTGACACGACCTCTCCGGGCTGACACGACCTCCCCGGGCCTGACACGACCTCAACGCGGCTGACACGACCTCAACGCGGCTGACACGACCTCCGCGGCTGACACGACGACTCAACGCGGCTGACCGACCTCAACGCGGCTGACACGACCTCAACGCGGGCTGACACGACCTCAACGCGGCTGACACGCGGCTGACACGACCTCTGACACGACCTCCTCGGGCTGACACGACCTCAACGCGGCTGACACGCGCTGACAAACGCGGCTGACACGACCTCAACGCGGCTGACACGATCAACGACACGACCTCAACGCGGCTGACACGACCTCAACGCGGCTGACACGACCTCAACGCGGCTGACACGACCTCAACGCGGCTGACACGACCTCAACGCGGCTGACACGACCTCAACGCGGCTGACACGACCTCAACGCGGCTGACACGACCTCCCGGGCTGACTGACACGACCTCAACGCGGCTGACACGACCTCAACGCGCTGACACGACCCCAACGCGGCTGACACGACCTCAACGCGGCTGACACGACCTCAACGCGGCTGACACGACCTCCCCGGGCTGACACGACCTCCCCGGGCTGACACGACCTCCCCGGGCTGACACGACCTCCCCGGCTGACACGACCTCCCCGGACTGACACGACCTCCCGGGCTGGACACGACCTCCCCGGCTGACACGACCTCCCCGGGCTGACACGACCTCAACGCGGCTGACACGACCTCCCCGGACTGACACGACCTCCCGGACTGACACGACCTCCCCGGGCTGACACGACCTACCTCCCCGGGCTGACACGACCTCTCCGGGCTGGACTGACACGACTCCCCGGGCTGACACGACCTCCGGCTGACACGACCTCCGCGGGCTGACACGACCTCCTCGGGCTGACCACGACCTCCCCGGGCTGACACGACCTCCCGGCTGACACGACCTCCCCGGACTGACACGACCTCCCCGGGCTGACACGACCTACCTCCCCGGGCTGACACGACCTCCCCGGACTGACACGACCTTCTCGGGCTGACTGACACGACCTCCCCGGGCTGACTGACACGACCTCCCCGGGCTGACACGACCTCAACGCGGCTGACACGACCTCAACGCGGCTGACACGACCTCAACGCGGGCTGACACGACCTCCCCGGCTGACACGACTCAACGCGGCTGACACGACCTCCCGACTGACACGACCTCTCCGGGCTGACACGACCTCTCCGGGCTGACACGACCTCCTCCCCGGACTGACACCCTCCCCGGG